AAGATTCCGAGATGAGTTCGCAGCTGCTGTTGTGGTGAAGAAGCGCATGAAATGGGTGGCAGCGCTGCCCTGAAAGCTGGAAAGCAAGGCTGGAAAACAAGGCATGTCCGAATGGGCTTCTGTGAATTGTCGGGTTGCTGGCAGGTTTTCGCTGGCAGGGCTACATGGAAGTGGGAGGCAGAGGAGGCATGAGGGGAGTTCAGCACCTCTGGTTATGTCGCTTTTGAGAGGCACACGCCTCAGCTGTCTGTAAAGATCTCAGACGTCGGAGTGTTCGCCTGGCAGTGCCAAGTGCTTGCCAACACTAACACAAAGTTTTCCCTCATGCCTGATTTGAGTCTTTCTTGCAGCAAGTTAACTCTCTCCACGATGGGCACGGCGAATATTACTTTGCCCAGTTTGAAAACTGTTGTAATGACTCCTCTCAGTCTCCTTTTCTTGCGATTAAATGACCCCTAAGTCCCTCTTCCACGTGTTCTGACTTTGTCCTTCTTCGTGCCGTCCTGTGGACTGTCACCGGTTGGTTCACAGCTTCCTTTCTGTAACATGCCCAGAACTGGGTAGCATGCGCAGAGCTAAACAGAAAAAGAGATTTGCGGTGCTGTGCAGGCCAGGCTTGTATTTGTACAGTGGGATTTTTCAGACCGAAATAAGTTGCGCAAGAATGACTTAATACGTACGTGCATTTTCAGGACTGAGAAAAAGTTGTAGAGGCGAGGTAAGGCATATATTTTTGTCTCTTGCTTGCTTGCTTTTAGATTTATTTATATATAAATTTTAGGGACTATACTTTAAATCTTACCTTTGCTTTTGTATTTTAACTTGACCAGTTATTTTTGTGATTTATATCTGGGTTTTTTGACAATTTTCAATTTAAAAACAAGAATGATAATACTCCGTAGGGCATGATGCAAATAACTGTATTTATAAACCAAGGTGTAATTCTTACTTTGAACAGTAGAGGGCATAAAGAACTAGAGAGTCTAATTTAGGCTGCTTCAGCGCTGTTTCCTCCAGGAGAAAGTGAACCTGCTTAAGAAAATTAACAAATTCCACCATCTTCTTTGGTTCTGGATTAACAGATTTTGCTGGAATATTAGGATATGTTGCCAAACTATGCAAATGATGAATGTTTTACACCTTTAATCTGTTTTTTCTTTGCTTTCAGTTGTGAATATATAAATCTCCCTAATAAGGGTGTTCTGTAGGAGCAGGAATTGTCAATAGGAGCTAGACTAAGCTTATGAATGGTGAATAGGTTGGATGAGCCTTGATTCTTCCCTGAGCCTTGATTCTTCCCTGGAGACCCAGGTTTGATGGGATACTCTGCAAGCAGCTTATCTCTCTTCTCTGTGAAAGGGCAGCTAAGGACCTCTACTGCACCCTAGTCTTCTACAGACACTAGAAAGAGCAAGGCTGACATTTGGGGAAGCAGCAAAAGCTGACTAGGCATAAAAAGTGTGTGTGGCACTCCTGGCTTCCACCTCTGGTACTTCCCAAAGTAACGAGTCATTTCCCAAAATCATCAGCCTGCCTTGGAAAAGGCACCTTTACCCTGTCTTCTATAGCTTCTAAATATAGCACTTCTCAGTTTTCCCATAAAATGAGGTTTATCAGAAATAGATTTTATTGCATTCTTTCTTTTTAATTTTTAATAGAAAATTATGATCCTTGTGTAATAACTGGAGTTCCTGTTACTGAGTCTCGGAAAAACAAACTGAGAAGCTGAAAAGCTCAAATCTAGCCTCAGTTACAGATGGGGGAAGGGATGGGTAACACTGAATCTGAGGTATGGAGAGCACCTTGTTCCCCCTTGAACTTGTTGCAACAAATCACCCTTAACACAGCTTAGTACAGTTATATCCTTTTCTGTCCAGCCTCTGGTCTGGGTTCCTTTTGAAAGTGTGCTAGGTGCCAAGACCAAACAACTTCCCTTCAATGCAAACTGCTTGTCACCAGATGTGTCCACATATCTGTCTCTGTGCTGTGCATACATACACATCTGGGTTGCAGGTCTGTGCCTGGCTCACATTATTAGCAATGGACAACTTCTATTGTATTAATTGACCTAGCTCCCACATTTTCTCTTCTCTGTTCACTGCATTTCTCCGAATTCAGTTTCTCTGAGCCAGCCCACTGCAGGATAGGCAGTGGTCTTTCCTGATGCTTGAGATGTCTGGGACTTGTGCAAGTCCATGCCACAGGGAAGTAAAATGCTGATGAACAGGAACTAACTTGGCACCTCTTGAGCTGTTCTAGTCACCCTAGAAATAATATTTTAATTTCCTTAACATATTTGCTGGAAAAACACGTTTGCCTCTCCTGACCTCATTCTTAAAATTCTTGGTGTGTAACTTCTTAAAAAGTAGCAAAGGAAGAGGAAATAGTAATGAAAATAAATCATAAGACTAATAAACAAGTGCAGCCTGACTAGCAAAAAAAGGAGGTGATAAAACCCTCAGTGCTGTTTTTCTGCCAGCTTCCTTTTGGCCCTGATTTGGAGGTCAGAGACATTTGTATCCAGCTCACTGAGATGAGTGGGGAACTCTAGTTTCCCCCAGGAGTGAGTAAATAACCTCAATGAGGTTTCCCAAAGCTATATGATGAGGTCAGAAGACATTCTGTGATGTTACTCTCAATAATGAATGAAAATACTGGTTACAGATCCTACATGGCTGGATCCTGACACACAGTTCACAAATCCACCTACACAAACTGGGGCCCCTGTTTGCAATCCCAGAGCTTGAATTTTTCTCTGAGGCGTATGTGGGGATCACAGCTGGACACTTATTTCAGGCTGGTTGCTAAGAGTGTAACTACAGCAGTGTCTATTTTCCTTCTCATTTGGACACACTCCTGGTTTCCAGTGATTCCATAATCTTTTGAAGAATAACATTCCCCTCTTGCCCTCCCCTGAAAGCTGCATGCCGGCAGCACTTGCTTGCACCTGTCAGAGTTATGACCTGGAGTCATATTGTGGCAAACACTTGTGAGATCTAACTTTTTCTTTCTTGCAGTGTCTTTGAGTGAATTTTATGTGTACCCTTGCAGTCACAAAACTCCCAACAACAGAATGAAGGGAGGAGGGATGAATGTTACCTGCTAACTCCACAGAGAGGGAGGAGCTCTATTCTTCAAACATCAGCAGAGTTTTAAGGAAGGTGTGTACTTAGAGCACTTCCTCAATGTTCAAGCACACAACGCTGAAGACCTGTCCTGAGGGTGCTCTAGAAGGTCTCCAGAGGGTCATTTCATGGGGGAGAATCCTGCCAAGAACCATTATGCACAGCTTAACCAGGGAGAAGAGAATGAGATGGTGAGTCGTATCTGCTTTAAGTCTTTCTCAGCTTGAAGCAGCAGGTGGCACGTGTTCTGCAATAACATGTTACAGTCTGTAGTTTAGTTATGGATGGTGGGGATGTTCTCATAGAGAAAGGAATATAATTTTTTTAGTGGAAAGAAAATAAAGTTGTGTGTGTCCATTGGACTTAATTGAATATCCCCTTCAACAGAGGATGTCTTGACAGATTATTGGTGTGGCATTATAAATCTAGGTGGAGGTGGTCTTACATGAGCTTGAGGGACAGGCTGGAGCAGTGTTCCTAGCCATTTGACAGCTGAATGTCTGGGGTCAGCTCCAGTTAGATGAGGACTGGGAACCTTGGCTTTCTCTGGAGCATAAATGCACATGTGTTCTGTTTGCATAAATTGTTAGCAAATGCAGTCTGTTGAATTGGCAACACTATTCCAACCTGCATGCCTGTATAGAGCTGGATTTCTAAATACAGAACTACCGTATTTCTTTCCAGAGCTTCCCAGGGAGGAGCATGTTTACGTGCATAACGTATGGAAGTAAGTCGTATGTTTTCACAAAATATCTGATCTACTGCATGGCACTTCTCTTAAATAGTAAGCCCAGTGCACTACTGTAGTAAGTTCAGTGCTTCTTAGCTGCTTTGCCATTACTGCATGTTACGGATTGTATTCGTCACATGTGCATTCTGTCTGTCTAACAGATTCTGCTGGAGATGTCAGACCCGTGATGTGGCTGTACAGCAACAATTCTCATGCATGTCTGGTAAATGCAGTGCTTCTCAAAATTCCCGTGCTGCAAAGTCACTGTAGCTCTGCTATGAGTGCGTGTAGGATTTCTGGGTGTACAACAGCTCCAGCAAAGCTAGTGAAGCAGTCACTTCCAAGGTGACATGACTGTTCGCTTCTAAAAATTCCTAGAGAAATCTTCAAAATCAGAAGAGAATACTGAGAATGCTCTTTTAGTGAAAAAGAGACCATGTCATGGAAAAACATAGACATTTGTTATCCCTAAATACAAACACAGGTTTTCAGTCAGCATTCTGCCATGCACGGCAGGGGAGATGTCATATTCTGCATAATGCAAACCTGAGTAATCTGGGATGTGCTGGAGAATGCCGTACGGAGTCATCCAGCAGTGTAAACTGAGCACTGCAGGAAGTGCGAGGCATTGGCTCTGAGGGTGGGGGACTAATTAGATCAGTGCAACACCGCAGAACCCAGCTGGCTCTGCCTCTGAATTACTAAACCTGCTCCAGCACCCTGCTCCTGGCTCTAGCCCTGGTACTGATGTGCCACTGCTCCCCAGCTCCTCACCACTGCTGGTTTTGTGTCTGTGCTCCACCCTGCCCTGTCCTTCTAGGACGGTGAGCACCCTGTCATTCTCTCCGCACTACTGGCACTGTCACTAGCAATACCAGAATCGAGCCTGAGATAATTAGGTTTAAGTGGACTGTCTGGTGCTTTGTAGAGCCACAGTATTGTACCCTGCATGTCTGGTTCCAGCTGTGGACTACTGGGACACACGAGTTGTGCTTGCATGGAGCCAGCTATCCCAGTAACGATCTTGTTTCTCACCAGTATTATACTGAGCACACGTGTCATGAATCCAGGGCTCAGGCATCTACACTGTGAATCTGAGGTTTTCCATGCGCAGCTGGTGTGTGTGCATGGTGTTGAGTCAATCTGCACTGTGAATCCAGAGTGTCTGGCAGTTGCCATGCTCTCTGTGCCTGCAAGGAGCGTAAGGAGTGCTCATTCACTTGGGGTTCCCAACTGAAAACCACAGAAAAAAGATTGATAAAGCAGTTATAAAGTAGGTGCAATGAAAACCGTAGACAAATTGTGCTAGAATTGGCAGGTATGTGTATGTCTTTGTTACGTATGGGAGAGAGAGAGAAAAAAAAGTTACAAGTTTGAGCGAGAGGAAGATACCTGTGAGGGTGTCTGAGGTACTGTAAGAGGATGAGAGAAAAAAAAACGTGTATAGAAAGAGAGATCAGCTAGTGTACGTACTTGTGTGAAAGAGAAAAAGAAAGTAATATGTGAGTGAGAGAAGTTGTGAAGAAACAAAGAAGGCTGTGTTTAAGCGAAGGGGAGAAGGAGAGTACATGGGGTGAAAGAGAATTATGTGCGGACATTCTTTGTTAAAATCACATATTTTAAATCATTGGCAGCCACAGCAAGTGGCACTGGCACATAATAGTCTCAGTGACCCTACAGCGTTTTTCTAAAATTCTAAGCCATGAAAAACATTTTTGACATTATTTGTAACAGTCAATCCACCTGAACCGAATTATTAACAAGCAGTTCTTGACTTCTCCAACAAGATCGTATCGCTTGGTGTAATAATGTAACAGCTGACATTGTGCAGGTGCCAGTTCTTCCAGAGTGAAATAGTTCAAGTAATTTTGAAAGCATGCAAGTGATTCATTTGGACTCTGGACGTGCAATGCTTTCCTGTGTTGAACTAGCTGTCCGTTTTGCTGAGGAAAGTTGAGGAGCTCTAATGAGAAGAAATACTTCCCAGTTTTCTTCAGTGTTTCCATTTCTTGGTACAGCTGAGATGCTGGGTAGTCCTGTATTTAAGAATAATCACTCTGATTTAGGAAATCTACCCTATATATCCTTGTGCACATCTTTGGGATTACTTTACGTGGCTGGAGCACATTTGCTTGAATGAGAGTTCACTCTCCTGGTACCCAGCTAAAACTTAGCAATATATTTTTGGAGCATGAGATAATACCTCTCTCTCTTCACAACCATTTGTAGTACCGCAAAGATCTCAGTAGTGTGAGAGAGCTCTGGACACAGCATCTTGCCTTAGAGAGGGCTAATAGATATGGTAATAGGAAGGGGTTTATTTTAGGAATTAGCATGCTTTTTTTTTTTTTTCCTTCAGAAAGATCTGCTCAAAGGTGTTTTTGAGAAGAAGTAATTGGTGGAATAGGAAGAGGGAGGAAAACCACAGCTTTATGCCCTTGATACTCTTCTCTGTACAGCTTGGGACTAATCATTCCCTAAAGTGCAAAGCATAAGTCTTGCAGTGCAAAAGATCGTGATAGACTTTGACAAGCTGCTCTCTCAGGAAGGATTTGCCAGAAGCCTGTCTTAAGCACGCGTTCCCCAGTTGTTTATGTCTGAAGGAATGAGACAACTGCAGTCAGTCAGCTGGTGAACCCCACTTTGCCACTGCATATTGGCAGCTGTCTGCCACCTTTGGGATGCCAAAATTCTGAAGGGAATCCGATCCAGGAATTTTATATACTTTGAGTTTGAAAAATTTAACTCTTAAAGTGAAGATAGAATCTGAAAGGCACAACCTTGTTCCTAATGGAATGATAGTGAATGTTGCTACTGGCTTTAGAGGGAACAAACAAACATCTGATGAAACAGGTTCCAGTTGGTAAGAATGAGATTCAGTTATTGAATTCCTTGTGAATCTTAACCAGTCTTTCAAGTCTAATCCTATTATCTGTTGTTATAGCAACAGGTTGTTCGTAATAGGATACCTGGTGATTGGGTTGCCAGAAATATGATAGTTCACAGCCACTGTTTAGGCTCCTTGCTGGTAGCTGCGGGTCTTGTTTTCACCAAAGAAAATGTCGCCTGAACTTGTTTGACTTCTGCATTTAAATTCTGCTGTGCAAATGACTTAGCAGTTACAGGCAATTTTCTTTTAAACGTAAGTAACAAAGACTTGCTGGACACTAGAGTAATAAGCCCTTGAGTGCTCTTTGTTTAATTGTAAAAGCAGCTAAGAACCTTTCTTGGAACAAGCACATTTTCTGCCAGCTGAGCAGGTCTGGCACCTTTTTCTGTCCAATAATCCATGGCCCGTCCCTAGACCCTTCAGTCACAAGTTAAACCAGTTTGTTTTAGTCACTCTTCTGACTATTGGGAGTCAAGAGAAGGGGGATGTTAACAAATGAGGAAACAAAGTTTTAAAAAACACTACAATTTATTAAAAGTTATTCTACAGAGATGAGATAAGCCCTGCATACCAGTCTCTTTTGTAGACAGTGCTACCTCCTGTGAGATAACGAGAAGCCCTTGGGAGTCTTACAGATAGCAAATCTTAGCTTTGTTTTCCACCATCTCTTAGTCTTGTGCCCTCAGGAACCCAGTTTATTTGACTGTAATGTTATATACACCAAATGCACACATTGACCTGAAAAATCTGCTCACACAGTAGAAAAGTTGTCAAGGTGGAAATCTCTATTCATCAGACCCATCTTCAAAAGAAGCATGTCTGCATCAGCACAGCCTCTTTGTGCAATGAAATACAACCCAGCAAAAGTTATTCTCTTTTCCTTAGCAACATAAAACCAACCTGACAGACACGTTCTTGCTGGTGACATCAACACCAGGATTTCTGCCAGCCCTGGAAGCATTGTTGCCATAGTGGACATGCATTTGCTGGAGATCTTTGTAGTATAGGCCTAGTGAATCCTGAATAAGCTTGAAGAATTTCCAAACCCTAATTACTGTAAGGCATTCACATGGCTAGATAAGCCTGCTGAGAAACCTGCATCATTGTGTGTGCCTGTTCCCCTTTCTTCATGCACATTGTGGATACCTCTGTTGTGGGTTTGGGTCTAATATTCACCTTTTTTTTGAGAAGATAATGGTTTTCAGAATTCTTCTAAAGAATTCCACTGTTGACTTATTTGACAAATGAGAAGTGTTTGTACTAGTACTATTTCTGTTTCAACACGGAGTTATTTATGTACTAAATGTATTTTTTATGAGTGCAGCATTCATTGCTATAGTCCTTCTAGCTGAAGGCACAGGGTCAGGAAAAACACTTCAACCTAACAGAACATTTTATTCTGAAGTTAAGTATTGAAAGGTTCTGGCCCAGGGAACTTCGGCACAAGCTAGGCTTGGATCTCAGTCTATTTCCCTGCTTAGCTTTACTTATGAATGATGTGGCCCAGGTATCTAACTCCAGCCATTTCCAAGCCATGGGAAATACTTTGCTTTGGCTTTAGATTCTTGCATGGACACCCTGATACAAACCAGCAGTTAAAATCTGATATTTATTCTTTCCCAGCTTACTCTTTTTAGACCTCCTGAACACCTATATTCAGCAATCTCATGTTCATCAAGACACAAACCAATGAACATGAACCAACACCTCTGTTCATAGGGCAGAATGTGCACTGGGGCAGAACAGCTCCAGGAAAGTCATCTATCTCAGGAAAGTCCTTTGTGAGAAGCAGCAAGATCCAGCAGACAGAGTAGTGGATGTCTTAAGAACATGGCCTTTTTTTCTCAGCTGAGCTGTTTTCCTTGTCTTTCTCCTAGTTCTCAAGACAAGGAATACTGATGCATGCATCGTTTTGGAACGTGTCTTGAGATCTAAGGGATCAAACCATTTTTGAGAGGAAACTGTTCTGGAAAACAAAGGCCTGGAAACATATGCTGGCATAGGGGGGCTCAGATACACATTTTGATATATAGATGCATGGTTTCCTAGGCAGAGAAAGACAGAGTCTGCCCTAGCTCTATGGTTATGTTGTCGTATCAGGTTTGGGGAATCGTTCAGCATTTCAGTGGAGAAGAACACTGCCAATAGAAGATTATTCCAAATGACTGCCAATCACATGCCGAGTGCCCACCCTCTCCCTTCTTAATTTTATTAACTACAGCCTTATTGACTTCTCGGACTTTAGATTTAAGGCACAAAAGCTGGAAGTGAAAGGAATGATTCACTGGCAGAAGCAAGATGCACATGGCAGCAATCTCGTTCTTCCCCACCCTGATATTTGTGCCCATCCCAATTTGAAAATATTATTCCAGTTATTCCAGATCCATCCATTTACTGGAGGAAATCCGAAGGCACATTCTTTTAACAGTTCTTCCCTTAGGCATCTTTGTCTCCTTGGGAGTTCCTTTGCCTTGTTGACAAGCTATAAAGTCTAGAATCAAGTATCTGGATCTTGCTAGTAAGGCATTGCTGTGAACATTAAGTGCACATTGTTCTATGTACTATTCTTTATGCTGCTGCTGACACTAATTTTGCAACTTTTTTGTTAAGGATACAACTAGACAGAGGTGAATGGAGAGCACTTTACCTCTTTTTAAGAGCATGTGAATATTAATAGCATGACTGCCACACCAACTACCTTCTAGCAACGTTGCCTGTCTGCTGTCCTCCATGAGCTTCCTTCTATCTGCTGCAAAGTTGCCTTTTTCTCTTGGGCTGCTCAGATTATAGAAGCCTTTGAAAACGCTGAGCGTATGCATCTCAAGGTGGTATAACCAAGTCCTGTGCAATGCAGGCCACTTCCCTGTGTAGTTTACCGTACTTTTTCCCCATAGTTGCCAATTTCTTCCCTTTAGAAACTCCACGGAGAGAGAGAGTTTAGAAACTCTAGGGAGATAGAGTCTGTCTTTTGGAGAATGACATAGAGTAGGTAGGCTGAGGCAGTGTGTGGAACCACTGGGTAAGGCCTGCGTTTCGCAGAAAAAGCAAAGACACCAGCATAGAACCAGGAATTATAAATTACTCATCCTTCCAATTACATTGCCTTTTCTTCTCACCTTGTGAATGGATCTTGCAATATCTGTGGCTGCAGATATCTGATCTTCAGAAGCAGATTGCACAATTGCTGCAGATATGTTAGGAAGAGGAGACCGAGGCACCTTAACTCTTATGTTAGCAAATTCTCCTCGTCACCCCATGTAACTGCAGCCATGCAATCTCCCATCTTAGATCAGGGCTGGTTCTCTTCTATAAATTCACTGTATGCATTTCATTTCACCTTTACCAAGTCCCTGCTAGCACTACTGAGAGGGAATTTGGCCATGGTACCAAGACCTGGCAGCTGTTAAACTGCAATGCCGACAGTCATCCCTTTGAAGTGTTGAGCAAGTCAGCTTGTCTCTCTGTAACAATTTCGCCGCTGTAAAGATGGAATAATAATACCTACTCATACAGCTACAGTGAGTAACTTCCTTTGACCTTCTGAACACGTAAAGCATTCTGCAAGTGTTCATTAGTTGTTCTTACCAACAGTTATTATAATTATTTTGGGATGTTAGGACAGTGACACATTGGCAAGGTCAAAAATCCCCATACTGGAGCTATCATGGAAGACAGTAGCAGCCCTACAAAGGCTGTGTATGTGCTGAGTTGTGCAAAGCAGCTCCAGCTGGTGCAGCCACACCGTGTCACTCGGCACCACGCAGAGACGATAGCTGAGTCTCTGAAGTGTAGGTACATTAGTGCAGACTCACTGCTATGGCAGGACAGCAGTAGTGCTTCTGATTTCGAAGCAGACATTGTCTCAGCTGCTGCAGTGAGTCTGTGCCACTCTCCCTCCCCTAGTGCAGACATACTCAAGTTCTTCAGCTGTCTCACTCAGGGACCTTAAAAAAGCTGACCAGGCAAATCTGGTTTTTTGACTTGGTGCCTAAAGGTTAGGGCTTTTATGTTTTGATCTCTTTCCAACTCATGCACACACATAACAGTGTCTCATGCTGAGTTTCACAACTGCATAAAACTATTTTAGAGGTTTGTCCAGACTACAGCAGTCCAGATTTTGTGAAGGTGGATGAAAACTTCTGTGGAACACGCAAAATTTTCTTCTAGTCCTGTTTAGGACACAGAAAGCAGCCAAATGACTTGTTTTTTCACAGTACCATGCCAAACAGTACCTATGGGAGAGCAGTGGATGATGGGAAAGTGTAGTATTCCAAGTGTTTCTTTAAGAGGAATAGTAATGATTATTTTCCTTGTCTTTGCTGACAGGAGATTTTTGGCTACAAAACCCAAGGCTGGCAGAGGATCTTGTGCATCGCTGGATACATCTTGTCCTGTGGGACTCTGCTGCTGCTGTTTTACTGGAAGCCCGAGTGGGATGTGTGGGCAAACTGCACCCGCTGCAGCTTGGAAGAAGCGGATGTTGTTCTGCTCAGAACAACAGTAGGTGCCTACTTTAATCTTTACGTTAGTCCCTAGTATGTAGTTAATTGGAAGATGAGTTAATTGGAAGGAATCCAGTTAGCTGAAATCTCTTACATTGCTGATTTCCTGCAATAATATCTTGTTTTTACCATCGTTGATCTAAAGAACTCTCAAGTATTCCACAAATAAGATAATGACTGGAATGGAGGGTAACAGCTGATCAGACAACAAGCTGAAAGAAATTGGGATGGAAAAACCTGTAATATCTGTGATTTCAGGTGTTATTTGCTGTCAGTCCTTCCTCCTCCCTTCCACCATCCCTGTGCTTTCTACATTGCAGATCAGTGCTCCAGATTGTAAAGCATCTGTTTGATTGGCAGTGTCCAGCAGATGCTTTTCCCTCACTTGGCCATCCTGGTGAAGCTGACCCTCTCTGCCAAAAATTTAGCCAGTGGGCCAAACCAAAGATTTGTCTAGCTCAGTCCCCAGCAGCGTCCAACAGTTTGTGATGAGGGATCAGTATCAGGAAGAACACAAGCTTAGACTACTTGTTTTCTTGGCGGTATGTTTCTATTTTGCCTTAGCCATTCCCCATGTCCAATAAGCCCATAATCCTGCAGTTAATGCTTTCAGGGCTGTTATGTTTTACTAGTAGGTTGCTCATGCAGATTTCTATCTGTTGAGGACGGTACTGAAGCACTGCATTATAGACAAACTCTGATTTCATTTCATGCAAGCTACTACAACACTAAAAGAAGCAAATTGAGACTTGAGACTGAATCCCAGCTGAACCTGAATGCTGCAGGAGCTGGCAGGGTTGGTTTACTTTCAGAAGTTTGATTTGTTCTGCTTCAAAGGTTCCTGAACAATGACATTTGCAAAATGTGCGATTGCAAAATGGATCACTTGCTACCACTGTATTTGAGCTACCTTCTTAACAAGCAGAGCAGCATGCAGTTAAAATCTTTTGAAAATCACAGATCTGCCTGTTGAATATTTTATATTGAAACAATCTGCATCCTAATAGGCTGGAGTATGTACTTTTTGTTTTTTAAAAAAGAAGCATATTAGGTTTAATCTCCCTTTTTAATCTTCAGTTCAGTTTGCATTTTTAATTACCTATACTTGTGTGTCATTTTAAATGAATTTGCCATGCCAAACGCTTTTCATATAAGTGAGTTTTTAGATGATCCTTTATGTAATTAAACAAGAATTGAATCTTACTGTATGTTCTTGTTATCAGGAAGCTCTCTCAAAGTGTTCTCTGGGCATTTGACAATTTTGAATTTCCTTTGTGGTTCTTTCTATTAAAATGACAGTTTTGTTTTTTCCCCTACATTCTGATTATGTCAGTTCTCAAATTTGATGGCTACCGCTAATGAGGATACAAGTAATCCCATCAGCTTGATCCTTGGAATTCTCTTTTGCCCCACATAAAACCTTCATTTATAATTCATCATCATCTCTGCAATTGCAATATAAGAGCCTATTAACTCGTGTTACTGAATTTTGACTCTAGTTCAAATAATGAGCACCTGTCTTATTCACTGCTTCCCATCTGAATCTGCATCCTGATGTCTACTAATTCTGACATGTAAATTAAATATCAGAAAATAAATGTTATTGTACTCAAAATACCAGTTTAAGAAGAAAAGTGCACAAATAAATAAGATATATAAATATCATTAAAGTTCTTTTTGGAACCCTTAAATTATTCAAAAGGACTCGTATTTGGTGCAGAATCTTATTTCTTTGTTGTCATTTCCAAATGAAGTTTAATAACTGTGCTTTCAGAACCTGGCTGGTTGAGGTGATCAGCTTTCTCCATCTACCAAACTGCTCACACATTGATCATGATATAGAAGTCAGTCTCATAGTTGACTTTAATGCATGTGGTTCAGTGTTCGGGACTGAAACTTAACATAAGAGTACTGATTACAGTAGTTGCTCTAATCTCTAAGGCTGTACTACCAACACGAGTTATCAGGCAGTTCCAATGTTGAACTTATTTTATAAAAAATAGCAAGATCATGAACTCAGTTTATGGCAAAAGCTTGTCTGAGGTACCATAAGGGAGGTACTGTGCTAACACACTCGTTCCAATGAAGTGTTAACACGGGAATGACTGTGAAAAGGTATTGGCACTGAACATTTTGCAGTACAGCGCTATGTTCCTTTTGATTTTCCCTTTACAGTATGGTCACTGCATCTTGGATTGTCCTGTACTGCTTGCTTGTCCTAGATTGTGACCTGAATGTTCACATTCCATCCTTACCAGCCAAGCACCAGGCCTGTGGTTAGTGAATTATTTGCATTACTCACATTTTCACTGGACTGTGGTTCTGCTTCCGTTCGGCTGATTTATCTGTCAGCCACAGGTTCTCGGAGGCCCCTGTTGGTTAGTTCTTTAAAAAAGCTGTAGTGGTGCTCTAGAAAGGCCTACTGTAATCATTCACTCCAAGGAGAGAGTGAGTTTGATCTGATCTTGAGGGAAATTGTGACACTTCTTTTTTATATTATTTTAGGATGAATTTCGGATTTATTCTCGTAAGACTGTGACATGGATCTCTGTGTCTGCTCATATCAAAAGCAGACTGGATTATCCAGCCACTGCTGAGGATGACTCAATCTTCAGCAAAGCCATAATGAAGCCAAGTTTGCAAGTAAGTGAAGTATTCCCTGCAGCATCTGGGCGTTGATAGCAAATCTCAGCCATGCTTCATAGAGTGAAAGTCAGCTGTGAAACATAACCAGCTAAGAAACTTGCAGCTTGATGAACACAGTGAGCTGTTGAAAAACAAGCTAGAGATTTTGGAGAACTGTACTCACCTCTGTAAAAATCTTCTCTTACGTTGACGTGGGTTATGAGAAAAGAATCCTCACTACTCCTGAGAGAACACCTACATTATAAGTAGGAGAGCTTGAAGACGCTGGGGTTGGTAGTGAAGAATCAGAGTTCCAAATCAAAACCTCATTCCTGGCATAGGAATCAAGGAGTTTAGGGGTGGCTATGTGTCTGAAGGAAAACTGAGGAACCAAACATCACAGCTTCCACAGTAACATGAAAGCAGGGATGAATGCAGCTGAAGGGGAATAGAACAGAAAAGTATCTAGACAGAGCTGCGTCAGTATTTCCAGAAATGTTTCATCAAGGTGAGTCTGAAACACATTTTGCTTTCTTGACTTTGTATGCACCAATTTGTGCTTTAAGTTACATTTGCTGAAGTCAGATCTTGCCCTGTTGACTGTTCCTGCAAAAATGTATCCTGGTCTCTGCCAGTTCTATAGCTTTGAGGTCCCAGTGAGGCACTGGGGAGAAGACAGATGATTAATTGATCCAAGCAGATCAAAAGGTCCCTCATGAGTTGAGTAAATATAATTTGCCTCATTTTAGAACAAGTACTAGACTGTTCAGTTATGTGTCTTGCTCAGACGTACGATAAATTGGTGTGAGCAATAGGAATGCAATGGTACATTTGCTAATATCTGGGTCTTGATTATAGGTAGTGGATCGCTGTGCTGGGGAACCCATAAAAGAGCTATATTGCCTTCCAGGAAATAGATTTCTAACTTGTTAGCACTTATTTTTGTGTCTAGCAATTTTTAGTAGGTGTTTTCATTATAAACCTAACTTTAGCTGAGCAAAGCTGTTGCTATTACTGCTGTTTCATGTGGGCGTGTATTAATGTACATAAGAAAGTTTAGTGCCAGCTAGTTTAATCAACTGGCACAGTATGAAAGTGAAGACTGGTTTGTAACATTCTTCAGAGGATCGAATTAATAATACAAAAAGCTCAATATAACCCTCAAATAATAGGCCCTTTGAACAACACTTTCACATCAATCAAAACATCTAGATAGAAAAGAACAGATTTCAAAGCAGCAAAGAGCAAACAGTTTAATCCTTCACTAGCAATACGAAAGCCCCTACTTATATGTCAATTATAAAACCTGTTTGCTGTATAAGCGACCTAAGTCCACGGGGTAATGTGTAGCACCCAAGAGCTGCCCAAGGACTTGTTCCAGCACTGAATTGTGTTTCTTATTCCGACTCCAGTTTTTAGCATTGCAAATATTGCAGCTCCAATTGCATGAAATCCTAACTACAGACCTCTTGTTATGTTAATGACTGTGGTTATAGCTCCATTTTGAGTCAGTGTATGAGTTGAGTATAGATTTCATTGGCCTATAATAATGCTTATTGCACTGGGTAGAGAGAGTCCCCTAGAGCTGATTTTTTTATTACTTAGGTGTATAGGTGTGTAGCCTTTCCTGCTTCCAGCTGATGTGAAGCGCCATTATCTCTAATAGGCTTCGTCGTTGTTGCGCAGGACAGGACAGACTCCTTTTGCAAGTTATAAATGGCAGCGTGTGTTCCTGATGGGTAACTGCTCTGCAAGAGCTTAGCGTTAGCAGTGACTCAGGAAGTATCCTGGGATGATCTTTCTTGTCTGCTCAGCTGAAGGACTCAGCACCATGCCTGCAAACTGCCCGAAGCCCTTTGCTTTACTCAAAGCCAGTTAGAAGATAAGGGAGTTGTTGACTGAAGACAGGCTTTGACAACTGCCTGCATACTCACCACTGCATCAGTGGTCTCTTCCCTTCATTGTGTGAAATGAGAGTGAGGACTGTATTCCTTATTTCACAAAATGAGGAGAGAAGAATGCTGCTTTGTACTTGCTTGACCTAAAGATCTGCAAAGCTTACTGGAACCTGCACCGAGGTGGAGATTCCACTCTATAACATAACTAAGGAGTTAGTATATGCAATCTTGTCTTCTCTCCCTCCCTGCCCTCCATATAATTTGCTTTATCTGTGCTTGACACCAGTGGGATGCCTAGCTGAGATCTGGGAGCCGGCCTGGGAGTATTTTTATTTTCTGTGTTGCACATGTTGTCTCTGTTTTGTTTTGCAGGTGAGAAGTATCCAAGTACAAAAACTCCGTTATGTCTGGAATGTCTATGCAAAACAGTTCCAGAAAGTTGGGTGAGTTCAATGCCCTGGTTACACAAGTCTATGAGGAAGTCAAGCTTCTTTGTGAGTAATGTCCTAAGGAAAACACTCCCTTTATATTTTAGAACCCTAGAAGACCACCACACTTGCTCAGCTATACATGCCAAATTTGGTTCTGGTCTCACCTGCAATGAACAGAATGTCAGGTACGCATTTTAAAACACAAATACTCAGCATATAGATTTCAAAGAGATGTAAATTCACTGTTGTTGGTGCACTTTCCTTGAGTTTCTTATATATCCATTAATATGCACAGAATTTTAGATGAAATGGACATGCGTGAAAAATGGAATGAAAGGGCCGGAGAATGTTGTGTATTCCCTGTCAAAGTTTCTGAAATGCCTCAGTATTATTCACCGTTATTGTTCTCAATCAGGAAATAACTATGTCCTGTAAGTAACTCTAAGCAGTTCTTATTTGGAGCAAGAGAAAGTCTCCATGAGACGGTGCAGATAAGTTGTGTGTGTGCTTCTTCAGTGGTGCTCCATGTAATTGTATTGAACTTCTAAATTAATTATTTCTGGTCATTGAATTTATTTTCTCAAACTGCAATATCATTAGACAATTTACAGAATAGGTATTCCTGCTAAATTAAGAAATGATCTTCAGTTGATTGAATACTGGAAATCCAGCTTCTGACCTTAGCTCATGTTGAATCTTACATTCAAATCACCCTTAACTTTATGCAAAATTACTTGGTTTTAGATCCTTCAGTTTTAGGTGCAGAATTCCTTTGTTTGCGGTGCTTCAAAGGAATTTTTGCATGATGGAAACGTTTGCCTGAATGGCTGTGTTATGCCTCCTGTCTGTTTAAGTAGATTTCACTGGTACAGTCATCTTTGCTGATGTAAGTACTGTAGGGACATTTAACTTTTAACTTTTTCTTGGAGGAAGATCCTCTCAGCCTTTAAACTGAGATTGATACAAGCTCTCAGGACTATTGAAAGCTGCATCTTCTTGAGTGAGCTACATTGTCACTATTTTATTTGTAAGTGATACATCTTTATCCCATACAGGAGAATTATATGTGGGCCAAACACTATTGATGTTCCAGTGATCCCTATTTGGAAACTACTCATCAAAGAGGTTAAGCATTTCTGTTGCTTTTATTCTAAGCTACTTGGGAAGGCTGAGTGTGGTTATAGAATACAATGGATTCTATATCTGAATTAGCTTCCCAGTACTCACTCATCAAGCACACTCCTGTCCTGGTTTTGGCTTGGGCAGAATTATTTTTTCTTTTCAGCAGCTAGGAGAGCTCTGTGTTTTGAATTTAGTGTGGGATTTGCTGTGAGAAGAACGTTGGTAGCACACTGATGTTTATAGTTGGTACTGAGACATCAAGGAGCTTCCCATGTTCTGCAAGTGTGCAGGAGCACAACAGGCTGGGGGGAGCACGGCCAGGACAAAGGGCCCACAGCTCCCCTTATGATTTGAACTTAGAACTGAGGGCCAAATTGGCCAATGGAGTATTCCATATCATGCTACATCATGCCCAGTATATAGATGATGGTTGACTGGGAAGTTTGGGAATTCTCTTCCATGAGACTTTCTCAGTCTCTTGGAGTTCTGTGTCTCTCTCTTTTTGGGCCTCTCACTCATCTGGGATTGCGGTGTTGGGACTTACCTGATTTAGGATTGCTTGCCAGGACAGGACAGGCGTTGGTCACCAGGTGGTGAGCAATTACACTGTGCATCACTTGTTCGTATATATTATTATCATATTATTTAGAGTTATTATTTTATCATTATTGCTTCTGCTTCTCCTTCTCCTTCTTCTTCTTCTTCTTCTTCTTCTTCTTCTTCTTCTTCTTCTTCTTCTTCTTCCTATTATTTTTATTATGTTCTGATCCAAAAAAAAAAAAAAAAAAAAGCTGGGCGTGGTGGTGCATGCCTGTAGTCCCAGCTACTCAGGAGACTGAGTCCCCCAGATCAGGATTCAAATCTCATTTAAAAATCACCATAAATTCATTTATTCTCCATTATTCCCTGTCCTCCATCCTCATGCCTGTATGGCTGCTTGGTATTTGTGTGTATCTGTGTCCTGCCAGCTCATTCTGTTCGCCTTACAAGGGTTGGTGAATGTTTACGAGCTGCACTGGAATTCAAACCTTCCAGGCAAAGGCTGTCTCTTAATCAGTGGAGATTAAGAGAACAGCAGTAGCTGATATATGCCTACAGCTGCAGAGAGATCCAATGAGCTCATGACTCTGGGCATGGCACCATGTAAAGCACCCGTATTTTTTTTCAGACGGGAACTGGCTATATGTGGCCTCAACAGAGTGTTTGTGGAGATGTGCCTATGGTATGTGAGCTCCATCCTCATGGCACAACCTGCTCTTCTCTCACCTTTGGTACATTTCTTGCGAAGAAGCAAGCAGAACAAGGCTTGGGCTGAGCCATTCACATCCCAAATAACATCCTATTGGTTCAGATTATTTGGCCCTTCTGTCAGATGAAGATGGTCCAATCTGATTAGACTGAAGCCACTGCTTACAAAATTAGAAAGGGGGTCAGGAGACACAACCCTTAGCTCAATAGCTTTTATTCCAGCCCATTTTTAACAGGATGAACTGACTGGGTATACTGGAGCCATTTAAATGTGGCCAGCTCTTGAGTATTGCTCTTTCTCCAAACAGGTCTTAAATCCATTTTACGTGTTCCAGCTGTTCAGTGTGTGTCTGTGGTTTGCTGAAGATTACATGGAGTATGCCGCTGCCATCATAATCATGTCTCTCCTCTCCATTTTTTTGACTGTATATGATCTTAGACAGGTGAGACGCCTCACCTTTTTCCACAAGGAGGATTTAATTCTAACATCTGGGAAAGGCCAGGATGTTACAACACACACACATAGAGTGCTAAGAGTTACTTAGAGGTTTAGTCTCGTGATGTTGTGTAGTAGCAGGTGCAATGGTCTGGCCTCCTACTCATCATAATCTCTGTGTGGTTCTTTACCCACATCCTCCCTTCCCCATTCCAGTGCTTTGCTTTGTAACTTTTTGTTACACCTTCTCCATAATTAGGGTGGGGCATTTCTTTCTCTGTATGATTGTATAATTCCTAGCAGGGCCAGGCCCCAGATTATGAGGGCTCTCATAACCACGAATAACAAAGGGAATAATTGTTAGTGCATGAATTGCATTATGTAAGTAAGATGTAACACTTTTGTGTGTTCTCCTTTAATTTATAGCAATCGATTAAACTGCACAGACTGGTTGAGTCTCATAACAACATCATCGTCACTGTCTGCAGAAATAAGGAAGGTGACTCCTGTACGCTTCTTTCTTCAATGTGTTTCATTTCTACAGCAATTTATATCGAACCCAAGAATGTATAGTATCAAATTCCTTCTAGAGCAGTTTCCTCTTCTGTCTCTCAGCTTGATTAACTATCTTCTGCAGATTGGGTTAATTTGACCTAGAAGTATGTTGTGGCAGATCAATCATATTCATAACTGTTTGAGCTCAGACTTAGCAAAAAATTATCAGGAAAACTATGTCGTTTTTCTTAAAGCAGTGCTGACAAAGCCAGCCACATAGCCATTAAATGGCTGAGAGTCCACCTAATTGCTCCATGCAAAGTCTGTTCATTGGCATGGTATTTAGAGCACAATCCAAAAAGACAAAGTCAAACTAAGAAATGTAAATCCAACAGTTAGGTCAGTGCATCAGAACACTAACTATTGGTTGGGCTCCTGGGGAGATGATAAGAAGGAATTCTGCAGTTCGAACTTATGCCTAGGCTTTTCTAAATACTGGAAGTTGTATTCTTAGATTCTACTTGTGGTCCTTTGTTTGTCAGCCATTATAAAGAAGCAACAATATGTTCAGCAGATAGTTCCTTGTATTTTTTCTCCTTACCACAGAGAAATATATGAAGCACAAAGTTTACATTACGTGTCATCTACAGGTTTCCAAGAGCTGGAATCACACCATCTTGTTCCTGGAGATATGCTGGTTTTGAAAAAGGGCAAAACCCTCTTGCCTTGTGATGTCATCCTGATCAGCGGACAGTGCGTTGTAAATGAAAGCATGCTGACAGGTACAGCTCATCCCTCCCAGGTTTACCATCAAAACATCATCATAGCGCTATGGCTTCAGCCAGTGACATGGGACATATAGTGTTAACATATATCACCCTTTTTATGAGATTGTCCGTAGCTGGCCTAAGAAGGGATTCTTTCAGGTCTGTACAATAATAAAGACTGAATTTTAGTTAGGCCCAGCTTATCTAAATGGACAAGATGGACTTTAAGAACGGCAGTTCATCCTTTTCTTCCTTTGTAGGGTGCAGAATTTAGGAAGGGATCCTCTGATTAGAAAGGAAAGAGTGGGCAGTAAAAAGAAGTGAGCAGAACATGAAAAGAAATAGTAGGCACAGAGCAAAGTTGTTCTTGCACAGGGCCCACAGTCTGCTCAGGCTGTAGGGGTGCCTCTCGGTCACTGTGAATGTCTCATTGTTGATCGCTGCAACATCTCCAACCTGCTAGAGTTCACTGCAAAGCAAAGCAGGGATTTTGATGCAGGAGGTGTTCATAGTTCTGTTTCTTGTCTTTAAATTTGGCCTTGGTCTGAATTGAACTGAAACCAACAGTTCTGAAATTTCATATACATGAGAAATTCCAGAACCCCCTTTCATTTAGAAAGCTTCAGGTGTCAGAAAATATGTCTTCTGCTTCACCTTAGTATCTGCTCTGACATAAATAGGATATTTGTCAGCCGTCAAGCATTGAGCTAAAGGCTCTGCTTTTTACTAGGAAGGGGAAATAGTGAATGTCATGTTTAATCTGCCTAAGGGAGTGGTGTAGTGACCTGTACATGAGGTTCAAACTAGGTAAACACTTGTGGCCATCAAGTGGAGTCATGCAACACCAGTTCAGGTCTCTTTTCAAGTCTGTATATCTACAGCCAGGGTTCAGAGTCCTCGGACTGCTTTCATTTCTCAGACTCACATGAAGCTGTTGTACTGATGCAAAAGAGAGCTTTTCTCTGGCAGAGTCTGTTTGCTTGCTAGGCTTAAAACTCTTAGTCACTCTGAAGATGTCACAATATAAAAATAACATTTCCCTAAACTGGCTTCTCTGGTAAATACCTTTAACTTACAATCTAGATGTCTAGATGCTGTATTTATTTGAAAGTCAGCAGGATGATTTTAAGGTGTACTGCAGTTTTCCTCATTTGATCTAATCTTCCCTAGGGGAAAGTATTCCAGTAACAAAGACCCACTTACCCCAAGCTGATAACTTCAAGCCCTGGAGAATGTACTGTGCAGAGGATTACAGAAAACATGTCCTCTTCTGTGGAACAGAGGTCATACAGACCAAGGCAGATGACAGAGGAGCAGTGAAAGCTGTGGTGCTGCGGACTGGTCAGTCAACACTTCAGTTTGCTTTTCCTTTCGTGCCTTTTCTTACTGGAACAGTCTGACATCATGTGCACAGTCACATTAAGTTAAAGGTGTCAATCCAAGTTCACAACAGTCAGATGGAGAATCAATATCCTGGGCTGGTCTAACCTGTTATGCATTGTTTCTGTTTGCCTGGCACAACTTTTACAAAAAACACTAGCCTATGTTTACAAAGAATTTTGCTTTGCTTCTGAGACTGAAAAAATCCTCCTCCTTAAGACAAAAGTAACTTTTTTTCTGTATTCTGCAGAGTAGGTTACATACACTGAAATGAAAGATCTGGGCCTTCTTTCTTAAGTTATAGAAAGTATCAGTCATTTTAAAGCCCTGCATTCTTTGTTGAGAACTTTTGGAAATGTTTTCCCCTTGGAATGATTTTAGCTTGTCTTTCCAGGTTTCAATACAGCCAAAGGGGATCTGGTGAGGTCCATTCTCTACCCTAAACCCATGAACTTCAAGCTGTACAGGGATGCCCTCCGTTTCCTGATGTGCCTCATAGCATTTGCAGCCATTGGAATGATCTACGCAGTGTGTGTATTTACTCTTAATGGGGTGAGTTACTAAATGCAGGAGAAATGGACACACCCAGTTTCAAGAGGCTTGAAACTTGAGTGGCCTTATATACATTTATATATAAAAATATGGCCCTTGTCACTGTCCTTTTTACCTTAGTAAATGAGGCCATTTTACAATGTAATTGAATTTGTGGCAGCACACAAGCTCTCAAACATTCAATTTCAAGGTGCCAAAACCCACTGTTTCCCAATAGTCATTTCTTCTGAGGTCCTAGGAAATCCTATGCCAGCACTGCACGTCTTATCAGCAGCCTTCTGTAGGCCAACTGACTCTTATTGTGTGTTGCCTGCCCTACGCTTGCTGATACATGTAATTATCAATGCATGTAATTAACATAATACTTTCTAGAGCTCTGAAAATGGGAGATCCCAAGAGCTTGACGCTCTGCAAGTAGCTTTTACAGAGTTTTTGTAGCACTTTTTATACATTCCTAGAAAAATCACAAGTGAGTTATAGGTTAAATAGGACACAAACTGGTGTGTCATTGTGAAAAGGCAGCTTTCCAAAAACTTCAGTTTAGATCAAAAACCCATCTGTCCCTGTCCACTGCCTCCGAGAGTAACTGGTATCAAATGCTTGTGGAAACAGGTTAGGAAGTAGGGCAAGTATAGAATAATTCTTCCCTGGTATAGTCTTCTAACTTCTTGCAGAGAAATGTTCAACAGTTCAGTAAGCTGTCTTTGTATTTAGATCATCTAGCTGTAAGAGCCACTGAAAATCCCCCAGAGTGTGTTTTAATATATTTCTGAATTAATTCATGCCTTGGACTTGACAACACCTGTGACAATGATTCCCACTGTTTTGTTGTGTACTGTGTAAAAATGTTCTTAAAGCTGCTGTCTAAATCATTGAAGGCACTGTAGATTTTTGTTTTGGAGAAACAGCTGCTTTCTATTTGATGTTTCCTGTACTATTCATGATTTAGAGATCATTGGCCACTCGTTCAGCCACCTTTCTTCCATGTCACAGAGCCCTGAACAGTACAGGTGTAAACACAGATCCCTGCAATTTACTGATGTTATAAAGAACTCCTCGGTTTCTTCTGCCTTTTTTTTCATATCTTTGTGTAGCCATTTTGGGGGTTGGGGTGGGGGGCGGCGGGCGTGGAAGGGAGGTAACCCTCACTCACTTATCATTCAGCTTAATATTCTTGAGAGCTTTTGGGAAATAACTTTTGCAAATCCAACTATCCTGTATCAATTGACTCACCTGCATCTCCACTGTTTTTTTCCAGAGTTCTCCAGGAAGTTTATGGGGTATTAATTCCCTCTGCAAAGACTGTGTTAGCTCTTCTCTAATGTGCCATGTACATCATGGGTTGATTAATTCTATATTACTGTTTTAATCAAGTTTCTCGATGTACAACTAAGACTTACTGTGTCAGGAAGCAGCAAGGGTCAGCTATTCCCTAGGGAATGGCAAGCCAGGAGTCGAGGGTGACCAGAGCACAGGTGGTGCCCTCAACGACCAGGGCACAGTCACACAGTATCGGAACATGGTGGGGGGAGCCGGGTGCTGGTAACAGCCCATCAGTAGTCCCAGGCAAGGCAAAGTGGTAAATCATCTGGGCAGACCACTCGAAGCAGAAGGAGATGAGGACAAGAGACAAGGCTGCAACATATGTCTAAAGGTGTCCATCCAGGAGACAGTGCTAGAGGCAGGTACACCTACAACATGGCTCAGACAGGGACTGAAGGCGCAGGCCTGAGCTTCGATGGAGCTCCTGAACCGATGAGCAGAGGGTGTGGGTGGAGGTGAGGCTGGTGAGGATAATTAAGGCCTATTAGGGCACCCAGGGCCCTGCCATATTGGTCTCTCAATCTCTGGAGGGTTTGCCTGAAACCCGTTTAGAAATGGTTCACTCATTCTGGTGCATCAAGGTCAATGTAAGAAATAGTTGTAGACTGTAGTTCTCCAATTTTTAAAGCCTAATTGCTTTAGAACTTCTTCAAAAACTTTCAAGAAATCATTTCATGCCTTGATAATTATCTGCCAATGTAAAGTCCAGGTCCTGAGTTGCGAGGTTGACTCTGCAATTCAGCATTTGAATCATTTTTCTCCTTGGGAATAATCTACAGTCAGCTCAGAAAATTAATTTCCCTTGAGATATCAAAAGAAAGTGTGTTTAAGAACATACCTTGGTGTCTGCTTTGCAGTTTTTCCTTTTTTTTTTTTTTTCTGGTTTAACTTCACCCTTGTGATATGTAAAACACATGCTGATGCTATCACAGTAGATGAAACTGTCTTGTCAGACTGGTGTTAAGATTCAGTCACATGATATACTAAATGCTTTCTCTTCTGCGAGTGTGTTTATCTGAAGGTGGTAAGTGCTTCATTCTAGCATAAAATCAATACAAAATATTATCAAACTGGTGTTTTCTGTGGTCTGGAACAGTATCAATGAAGGGAGAATGAGAACATAATGAAAATTCGACACTTCAAATGCAACATGATTTATGGTCGAAGTCCCAAGCTCAGAAGCAGGAGTAATAGAACTCTATGATGGTTTGCAGATCCTTCTAAACAGCAAATTTTCTTTAGTATGCAGTGCCTCAGTTCTGAGACCCCGATTTGAAATGCATTCAATCCTTTACCAGTGATATCAACTGCCAAGAATAACAGTGCTGACATTCAGCATACTGGCAGTCTGTTTTACACCGACCTCTAAGCTCCCAAATTAAAGATGGCTTTTAGAAATGTAACTTTTACTTCCATGTCTCTTCCTGCAGGTAAAAGTGATTTCCTTTCACAACTCCTAGCTCATAAGGTCAGAAGAAATCATTAGCTCATGCATTCTGCCCTCCTTTTCAGCACCATCCCACATCTCTCACCTGTCACCCTCCCATGGAGTCCAGAGCTATGCCTGTAGGCAGTTGGATCAATGCCCATATAAATGACAGATTCTTGTGTGCTGTATCATGGGAAACTGGGCTTGGCTGAGGATGTAGTAACCTAGCTGGCATGTTTGAACTCATTTGCTTTGGAGGAGACTGTGAGCTCTACCTGGCAGGTGTGTTGGCATGGAGAATGAAGGAAGGCCTGGAGGCTGCTCTTTAGCAGTGGTGTAGCCTTAAAGCCTTCAGTTAAATCAAAGCAATTAATTTCTTAGGGAGATGAGTACATGATGGACCATAGGCAGAAAATAGCATAGCCTGAAGCATCTGCAGTGGAGAGGAGGAGGGATGAAGAGGGCTATGCTCAAACAATGAAAGCAGCAGTCCTTGCCACTCTCTTGCTGATAACAGCCTTTGGTTTTATGTTAGGAGGAGGCAGGAGAAGTGGTGAAGAAGGCATTGGATGTTATCACTATTGCTGTCCCCCCAGCTCTGCCAGCTGCCTTGACAACAGGGATCATTTATACCCAGCGGAGGCTGAAGAAAAAGGGCATCTTCTGCATCAGCCCACAGAGGATCAACATGTGTGGACAGCTGAACCTCATCTGCTTTGACAAAGTAACTGCTATGTGGTGTTTACTTTCTTACTAGTAATGGGAGTCATGCTAGGGGTGGAAGAGTATGGGTTTTGATCAAGCATTTCCATTGTGTTTTAGAAACACACTGACCAGTCTTGCAGAGTTAAGTTTGTGTTGTCTGAACAGACTCTACTGTGAATTGTTGTTTTTCTTGGAATCTAGGAATTGGATGGTAGCACTTCTGCTCTGTGCTGTGCTGCCATTTCCTGTACAATAACTTCTTAAAATAAGTCTTGCTTTTTATTCCTTTTGGAGCTGTTATGTGGGAAGTTAATTTAAATGTACATTTTAACTTAGACTGGCACCTTAACAGAAGATGGCCTGGATCTTTGGGGGTTGCTGTCCTCTGAAAGAAACTGGTAAGTCTCCTTGACACACCAATGGTATTTAAATTTGGTGGGACAGTGACTGGATTCTCCTCCTAGATGCATGAACAAATCTGAAAGACAATTAATGTCAAACAGCAGTTTGAAGTTCCAAATGTTTGGATTTCTGATATTATTTCTGTAGCCTCTGGAAAATGAATTGTTTGCCTCATCCCAGGGGTCCTGCTCCACATAAAAAGATACAGCCACTGTTGTCAGCATTTGGCACAGCATGCCCAAGCACGGTACTTTGCAGTAGACATGCTAAGTTAGATCTCAAAGCTGCAGTGGTGCTCCAGCCCTTTATGACAGGAAGTCTCTGTTCCCTACGAGGTTGCCACTTGGTTCCTTCAGTGCCCATGTTTTTGCCCATTTAAATTTCCAGAAATGCATATGCACAAAATGCTCAAACTTATACCAGCCTTGCAGCTCGAGACTACTTGCACAAGCTTCAAGGATGGTATTTTACAATAATCTGTTTCTCTGTCCATCCCAATGGACTCCTTAACTATGCAGAATACACCTATCCTGAGCATGTGTATCCCAGCCTTTAACAGGCGCATGAGAAGTCCCCAGAAATATGCTTGTGGTCTGACCACAGGAGAGGACTGTAACAGCCTCCTGACTTAGGACTTTTTTTTTCTGTTAGTCATATGTCGTTTGGTGTTCTCTAACGGTAATTTTTATGTTCTTTTTTGCATTAGCTTCCAGGACATTCACAGCTTCCCTGCAGAGCACAGCCTGCCTTGGGGCCCAATGTTCAGAGCAATGGCGGTTTGTCATTCACTAATTGTTTGGGAGGGCAAGATCCAAGGAGACCCGCTGGATGTGAAGATGTTTGAGGCCACTAACTGGGTAAAGCTCTGCTTTGGTTTTATGCAAATAGCAGTGGGGACTCTTGGTGTTCTCGAAAAGGAGAAATGTCCCAAGTCCTCCCATACAAATAGCTGCTTCCTACACAGAAGTAGAACAGCTAAAACCCAGAAGAGATAGCACATGCTCAGGCTTTTGCAGAAATGTTCCTTGTTTCTGCCTAGAACTTTAATCCAAGCGATACTTTGAGTACTTAGCTCATTTGACTGAAAGTGGTGGATATCATGCAAACTCCACTGGAGCTTCAATTCTCATTGTGGCTGCTACCAGATAACAGGAAGTCCCAGATGTGATTATGCACAGATTAAGACAGCTTTTACAGAGCATGTAAAAGACTTCTGCCAGCTTTGAGCTAGATACAAGACTTTGACATTTGTTAGAGCTCTGTCAATGTGGAGATATTTCTACCCCGTCTTCAGGTTTGAAATCCCATGCCCCTGTGAAAGCTGCTTTCAGTCTCTATCCCATTACCTACAAGCAGCTATTTACTCTCTGATCAGGTGGGGCGGGGCAGGGTGAGGAATGAGCATTTATGGAAACTAAAAGGCAGCAAATCTGAGATAGATAAGAGGAAATCAGCCTGTAATTTCCTGGTAGAAGGCATAGCCACAAGACATTGCTGATGCAAGATAAGAGTAGTAAATAACTAGATTCACGTAACTAGTTATGTGGATGACAATGTCCACGCTTAATACCTGTTTTGTATCTGCAAAATATGTAAATCAGCCAAGTTTCAAGGAATAAACTATACAATAATGACTGGAATTAGAGGGTGTTTTTCCCCAGGAGAGTCACCTTGCCATCTCAGCCTTGGGCAGACACCCATCAAAATTACAAATTAAACAGGAATAATCCTGTTAAATAATTCATATGAAACAGGAATAATTGTGTGCCCTTTGACACCATAAAATATTTTTGTTCCTCACAATCATTTTGTGTGGTATGTGGAATACTTCAGAGGATGGTACTTTCTACATTAGTACCAACTCTTGTTTGTTATTTCCCCATTGGGTCTGTGTTATATCTAAAGATTTTTGCATATTTAAGTGGGTTGTAATGAATAAAGGATTTATTGTCAGTGAGAGGAAATAATCTATTTGCTGTGCAAGAGTACAGCAGTAACTTAGTAAAGCTGGTGAAGCTCTGGATTTGATTGTCAAGGGACGTAGCAGGTTTTCCATTACTGGAGATTCTTAGTCTGAGAGCAGACAGTCCTAGGAATTAATAAGATACCTTGTTTAGAGGGAAATAAAAGCTTTAAACGATTCCTTGAGGTTTCTTTCAGCTCTACTGGTGCTGTGATCTGAAAGTTTTTTGTCTTTCAATGCACAGGTGATAGGTGATTCCAGTGGACACCAGATTGAAAGTCAAGGATCCACATGTGCCACAGTTGTTAGACCTGGGCCTAAAGCCAGCACTGTAAGCTATTTGTAAGAATCACATTCATGATCGAGTTAAACTGTCAGTGTAAGAGTTACCTTTCAGTAGAGAAATTCTTGTCCTAGTCCAAGACAGTTCTTCCACACTTTGTCTTTCTTTTACTTCCTGCAGAGAGATTGCTTTCCTCTCTCTGATTAAAAAAGAGATGCCTGGGGGAGTTTGCTGCTTACATCAGAAGCGGGGGGATGCTGGATGACAGATTATCCAGCTCAGGAATTTTCCTGTCTTGGTGGCTCAAGACTCGAGTCCAAACTCAGCTGGGTGGTGAAGATCTCTAAAAGCACTTAGGACTGCAGTGGAGTCTAGTAGCTGATGTCAGACTGTTACTGGTGACATACACCAAGGAGGACACCTTCAGACATCCATTTTCCCTTTGCAAGACCAGTGTAAAACCTAGCAGAGTCTTGGTAAAGAAACAGGACTAGTGAGTTCCTTTCAGTAAATTACATCTAGTAGTCCACTAAAACTATCAGTGAACTTTTCTGTTCAAATTTCACCTGCTCCTTACATACCAGTCCTTTCTGTTCTACTGTGACAAATCACCTGATTATACATGGTTAGCTTCTTACCATGGCCCAAAGGACAGACCTAAAATCCTTTGGCCTGAGTTTAAAATCCCTGCTGCAGTATCTAATCCACTCACTTTTCTCCTAGGCGCCCGTGGAAGGAGTTACCATTTTACATCAGTTTCCATTCTCTTCAGCCTTGCAAAGGATGTCTGTCATTGCTCAGGAAATTGGTGGGGAACAACAGGTCTTCACAAAAGGAGCTCCAGAAATGGTAGCCATGTTATGTAGAGCAGAAACAGGTAACTAACATTTATAAATGCTTCCTAAAAACACATATATGTAAGTGACTTTTGATGGTGCAATGAAGTAGAAGGTCCAAATGAGATTTCTGGGTCTAAGACTTTATACTTCAGCCTGAAAAGTTAGTCTCTCTGTTGTGCTCCAAGTCTCTCATACAGCCCTTCTCAGCAAAGAAGGACTGCTGAGAGACAAAAGCAAGTACCAACTCTTATATGAGGTGTACCAATTTCTGCCAGAATAGATATTTGGAAGAGTTGTCTACTGGTTCAGTGTACACCAAAAAAAGTTTTCTTTTTTCTCCAAGTCTTGGGAGGGCAGCTAGAAGAGCACAGCTCCTTCATGACACACTGGAAGAAGGTAAGTCTTTGCAGAATAGCTTAGGATCCTAAGTGCAAAGTGACAGAGGAGAGGCAATGGTTTTCTGATTGAGCAAAGTTCAATTCAGCAGCTTTCCTTGATGTCCTTGGCCTATTGGTAGACTCTAGGTGTACCTGTCCTCTGGGATAGGAACCTTCCCTCCTTCAAGGCTTCCTTTTGTCAAATGCCCTGATGAACTGTCATTTCCTCTTTTGCACAGTCCCATCGAACTTTGAAAGCAAGCTTCTGTTCTACACAGCACAGGGCTTTAGGGTCATCGGACTGGCATATAAATCTCTACAGGCAGGGAAGCAAGCTACTGATCTAACAAGGTAAGCCATAGACTGCTTCTCATCAGCTACACTCAGCCATGGGCTAGTGGTGCTTCACATAGTACCATTACCACAACACCCCTGCCAAGAGCAGAGCTGTAGTACAGAGTTTTGTTAGGTTCAGACTAGAGGGAATCTGATTTAAATCTGGATATAGGTCTCTCTGACAATGGGTAGAAGGCACTTCACTACCCCATGCTTATAACACATGCCTAGAATTCTTACACATATTTTAACTTTGGATCAACATAGAAAATATAACTCTAGTGCACTCTGAAGTCTAGTACACCTCTCCCTCAGTCCATGATTTCTACCAGTCTCCTTGCAGGTTTATCTCAGCTTTCAGCTGAAGAGAAGTCTCTTCTCTCTCTTTTGTTTGTTTGTTTGTTTGTTTTTGTTATCCTGACTCCTTGATTAAGCAAAGGCAGCAGATGACCCCCATTACACTGCCTGTTCTCTAGCCCAGTCAAAGTCAGCAGACTATGTTCTACTGCTGTCTTGGTCCAATCCTTTAGCTTTCTAGCTTTAGCTCTCTTTAGTTTCTAGAGAAACCACCAACCTCTTCTGCTATGCTCATGGTATTAGTTTTCCACAAGCCTCACACAGGAACACCTACACATGAATCCGTATGCTTTTACCCAAATCCCCCAAGCTTTTGCCTGTAATACTCCAGAAACATCCCTTCTGAAAGATTTGTGGTTACTTAGCATCTGCTGTCCTCTCTGTTTACTAGCTGCAGGTCCTAATCCAGATCAGCCTCACTTGCTCTTTCACAAGGCTTTTTGCTTTGCTGAAAGGGGCAATGACACTGATGCAAAGTGCAAGTGATTTGTTTAATTCTTGTGACATGTGTCATAACAGACCTATCCGACCCAATGAGCAAATGTGTGTGATACGACCCAGATTTTGCAGTTGTGTGTGCAGTTGTAGCATGTGTGATATATATACTGCCAGGAGAAAAAAGAGAACTGGAGGTCAAACACAAGCTCCCCTGTGAAAGCAGTGACTATGCAGGCACCACCTGACGCAGCGACTCTGACTGCCATGCAAGCATTTGGCATCACCTCCTCCTTGCTGCAGTGGCTAAAATAAGTGTTCGAAGGCATTTTCCTTTTTTTTCAGACTCTTCACAGTTAACCTGCCTCCCTGAGAGACCTCTAGTTTATGACTCGGATGGGATTGTTTGCCAAATTCTGTTCTTAACTGCATGTGTTCAACTGTAAAAGAAGCAATAGCACAGGTGTAAAGAAAAGAGTAGGAGACAACAGAATTGGAGTTCCCACATGCTGTTTGTTCTGGTCCTACTGTCAAGAGTAGCAGATACATTTACTAACGTGTGTTTCCTTGTTGTACAGTCCTCAAATGAGAAGGACTAGTGTGCATGAACTTTCCAAATCAGAATTCCAAATCCAAATTCCCACAGTTTGAGAATCCTGCAGGAAATTCAGGGTGCTTTTTCATGCTGGCTAAGGATGGTGCATAAGTGGAAAACAGTTCAACTTATCCATCAGGCTTCATGTTGGTATGTGGAGCAGGTAGGTTGAAATTGGCTCTTTTTTGATTTGGTAATGAAGCAAACATGATCTGGAAGCTGGTTATGTACTGAACTCATTCTTCAGAACAAGGGAGGAAGAGAACAGAAGGATGAAAAATCAAGCGAAGATCCTCCATACACAACCAGCACCACTTGCTGCCACTGGGAAGCAAGCCCTGCTAGCAGGGTGTTGAAATAGCACTGCAAAAGACACCCCCTTTTAGGGACTGCTGAAAACCGACAAGTTATTTTAATTCTTTTGAGTTAAGTGGGCTCGTTAACAGTTATAACTGGCTATAAGCAAATTCAATGCAAAAACAGACCAAAGGTAAAAAGAAGAATTAAATCTGTCTGTCTGTTCTTCACTGTTAGGGAGGAGGTAGAATCTGATCTGACATTCCTGGGTCTGCTGATAATGGAGAATCGATTAAAGAGGGAGACAAAGCCTGTTCTGGAAGAGCTCAGTGCTGCCCGCATCAGGACTGTTATGGTCACAGGTATCTAAAAAGTGTGGATTATTTATGTGGCCACTGGCCCAGACAGGGAGTTCAATGATGTTTGAGTGAAAAGTTTACTGCTTTGGCACCACCACTCATAGGAAGGCACAGACATTTGTATCTTTCAGACAATTATATTCCAAGAAGCTATTGTAATAATGGCATGAGCTGAACCATGCAGGCTTATGTCCCTGACAACTTCACCAGGCTATGTCAGATACTTAACTCTTAATCTGTTCCACTTCCACCACACATCCTGTTCCTCTGATGCTTTCCAGTAAGTCCATTTGTTCTCCCTGGTAAGGTTACCAGATGACATGCACAAAGACATGTCATGCAAGATCTCCTCTTTATAGGGCCTCATGAAATGTTGTTGCAAATGAGCAAAGAGGGAGCATGGAAGCCAGGACAAATCACTGAACTTTATGACATCTGGTAACTCACGCCTAGCAGTCCCTATTTATCCTATTTTTTTTTCATGAAAGGCCGGTTTGGATTTGGATAGGATAACCCCAGTTTTACCATGATCCAAAGAAATTTTTCCTGGAGTCACACAGATCTTGTCTTATGGGGCCTCACTCATTTCAGCACACATCCTACTCTAAAGTCATCTAACACCAATTGATGAGGAGCAGTGATACTAGCAGCAACTTAGCAGTGAATCCCTTATTGTTTTTTGTCTGAAACACATAATCTAGGAGCACATTCCCCATCTGAATTTCTTCAAGCTGAAGATGAAAATATTTCATTTCCAGATGAAAATATGTTTAATTATTGAGACAGATCTCATCTGCAAAGTTTTGATCTTTATCAAAAACTTTCTTAGGCATAGACACTGAAATCTCACTGATTCTTGCGAATGTGTCTGAAAACTCGAATTCAGGAAGAGGCTAATGTTTCCTCCATAAACAATTCCTCATTGTAGAAATTTTTAGATAACACTCCCTTTGATTTTCTAGGTGACAACATTCAGACAGCTGTAACCGTTGCCAAAAATGCTGGGATGATTTCTCCAATGAACAGAGTGATTCTTGTGGAAGCAAATGAAATACCTGGATCTTCTTCAGCGTCTATAACCTGGAAACCACTAGGAGAAAACAAAGCTGAAGATTACGGAAGCCTGGTGAGCATAGAAGAAGCAGATGTTGTGCAGCAAGAAAACAAACTAAAATGGAATGCTTTAAATAATGCAGTGGGATTACGCTAGTATTACAGAGACCAGTCGTTCACCGTTGTCTGCATGTCAGAATGTTATGTGATAGAAAAGTTTTTAAAAAGAAGGGATCTTTATAAAAATGTGTTCCCCTAGAGCTTCCTTCCTAGCATATTGTCTTGTGAACACGTTTTTGCTAACTGCCTAGCTAGATTTGAGAACAGCTCTGCAGAAACCCAGGAAAGATTTGTCTCTATTCCTCATGCTTAGCTGATGCTAGTTTAAAACGTTTCCTTTCCCTGCAGGGTAAATTCCATAGTATAGATGTGGACTTAAAATCTGTGGAACTGCACTGAATCAACCAGCCCTGTTCAAGCAGATAGAGAGTTAGCACTTCCCCATACTTGCACAATTAAAACACAGATTAATTGTTGAGAAATTGCATGTACACAGTGAAACATAGGCTAGCTGTGCTAAGAAACTGTGTTTCATCAAGCATCTCCACAAAGAAACTGAGACAAAGACCAGTTACTCTCTCCCTGAAGAGCATGTCTGAAGGTGCTGACCCTTCTCTGAGAAATATTAGTCAGGCAGATGGTAGGGAATCTCTGCAGGGGCTGTTGAGGGGCTCCTTTCTACTAAAGCTCAGCCTGAGCAGCATCTTCACTGTATTTCACTGCAAGAAGGCATGCCTAGCCCCTCTCACTCACAGTGCAGCCCACCGGATTGGCACTGTTGCGTATATTCTATCAAATATGGCAATGATGAGGGCCAACTTTTAAGACATATGAAGCACCCAGTTCACACTAAAATTAATGGCATTATATGCCTAAATCCCATTAGAAATCCAGGCAAAGGCAATGGGCTTTGAACTCAGATTTCCCAGGGTTGTCACAAGTGCCCTCCCCATGGTATGTCCTTTTCTTTGTCTGTAGTAATGCTTGTGTAAATGCAAATAGTAGCTTTTGAGGGCCTGGCAGCAGCACTCACTCTGTCTTGTTTTATAGGAGGATGACAGTCAGACTGAAAGAAGAATCAGACTGGCCTTGGGATCAGGCCAGTATCATTTTGCCATGAGTGGAAAATCTTACCAAATTGTAGTGCAGCATTTCAGGCACTTACTTCCAAAGGTAAGATCTCGATTATCTAATTGGAGTAAGCTTGCCATTCATTAGATTCGGATTGCCCTGATATCATTAGCTGAAGAGGTCTGTACCAGGACATCTTTTGGGAACAATTCTAACCCTGAAATACTTACGGGCTGGATGAATCTCTGATAATAATGTATGGGGAATGATCTGAAAATACCTGGACTTTTTTCTGCACATAAGAGGAGCAAAGCTGCCTCATGGCGTGAGGACATGACTTAAAACATTTGCGCCTAAATGCCTGGCCCTTGCACAGCACTGATTCTGTCATGTTTTGGAGAGCAGGAGAAAACATGGTATTACACAGCATGCAATTCAGCATGACTTGTCTATTTCATGGAAAGGATAGACTCATGAATTCTCTTCTAGTAAATCCCTGCTTGGTAATCTGTGTTCATCAGGTAACTCAAATGACACACCAGGTCTCTTGTCCTTATTGTGATTGTTATTTTTTCAAAATATTAATTAAGATACCTTTTATCTTTGATCATCAGTCTTTCTTGCTTTGGAGTCTAGCATCAGTTGTTTGGAAATCTGAATTTTTAGTGGTTTCTGTTCCAGATTGTCACTGAAATCACTGTTACTCTTACCTCAAGTGCTTAAAAAATCACTTCCTTTTTTCTCCTTACAGCTCCTTCTGAATGGAACAGTTTTTGCTAGAATGTCTCCTGGTCAGAAATCCAGCCTTGTGGAAGAGTTTCAAAAGCTGGAGTAAGTTCATAATGAGCACTAAGAATTAGGAAGTGTTTGATGAATTTCCAAGCTTGAGAAGTGTCCAGTAAGAGCTAGCTTTTGTCTAATATAGCGTTTCCTGGAAGTGCACATAACTGAAACTTTCACAGACATACAGCTTGGCAATTAAATTCCAAAAGCTTGTTAAAGAAGAGACACTGAAGTCCATGTTGGTTTGTCAACCCATCAAAGACCTAACACTCGCATGATTCTGAGTTTCATTTCTTCACATCATCCTTTATTCTTACTTTTCTTTCTGGGTCTGAAGGAGGGGCAAGATTTTGGGGAGTATCTCCCAACACCGCAGCTTCTTTGATGCTAGTGGTCTTTTTACTGCACAATTTGGGTGATGGGTTAGAAAATATGGAATGGTATGCCCTGTGCTGCTCACAGTCACAGAGGTGTATATGTATATCACTGAGTCCCAGATGTCTTGTTGCCTGTTATTCAGCTGTTTCTCAAGTCTTTTGAAGACCTGCACTCTCACCTTAACTAGCTAGTCCCTGGACTTGCCCTAGAGCAGAGTAAGCTTTAGGCTGTTTCAGATTACCAGCCTGGTGTGAGCAGTTCTGAGCACCCCAACCACTGTCTGGCCTCCCCGGACCACCATCAATGCCTCCCAGTGAGAACTTCCCATGCACTGAAATCCAGGCCTCAGCAGTAAAAGACTCAAGTGAGTCAGCTCCTGAAGCACTAGGCTGATTTTACTCATGCTGTAGATGAAAGGATTTACTTCCAGGGCTTATCATTTCACAAGGTTATTTCAGCCTCAGGGTGGGGAGCTGTCTCCAGATACCCTGTTAAGCCCATGATCTCTGTCTACTGCAGCTGCACCTATATCACTCTCTGTCTGCCCCAGGAGATTCTGGCAGGACTGAACCCCAAAGCAGAGTCCCCATTCATGTCTATTCCCAGTGAACATGAGGTACCAGTGCCTGCAAGCCTTCTTTTCTGAGTAGGACTGTCACCATTAGCTCTTCCCTCTGTTATGGTTGACCTTAAACCCAGTGAGGGTGGGAGACTGAGTCCATTGTAGTGAACATAAAACTTCATGCTAGCATATTCTTCAGTCTGTCACAGCAGAAACTCTTTGCTGTAGGCACATCTGAGGTGCAAGACCAAGGCCTGTGCACAGTCCAGAGTCCTGGGCTTGTATTTCAGTCTTTCAGCTTTCCAGAAGGGCTTTCAACAAAAAAGTCACATGACGTGCACAAATGACTCGCATGGAGGTGGCTCTGATTCCCTCCTGTTTATAGATCTTACTTTCCTCAGAACTGAACTGTAGGTCACTTTATTTTTTAGTTACTTTGTGGGCATGTGTGGAGATGGAGCCAATGACTGCGGGGTAAGTGAAAATTCTTTACCATATATTTATTTAAAAAATGAAAAATTAATGCAGTGCCGATAGAATATCCCAAATTGAGCATATGCTGGAAATGTGAGTGCTCTGCTCGTTCACAGAGCAGCTGTACCAGCACCAGTACTGATTCAAGCCTGGTCCCACAGCGTGATCCTTACCATGCAAGAGCTGTTCTAGGCAGAGGTTGTTGGAGTTTGTAGTCTCAAAGACTGATTCATTTCCTTCACAAAAACCACCAGAGGATTCTCTAAATCCTCCACCGGGGTTTCTGTCAACATCTTCAGTGTCTGGAGGTGGAGATGACAAGGATAAGGAGGAGTTTCCATGGGGTACAGCTCTAGCTCTACAGGTTTTTTGTAAATGCACAATTTAGAAGTGCAAGAAAGTTTTTTTTTTCCAAAAGGAAGGGCCCATGTTCAGAAGGGACTCATAACTGCCTTCTGGGCAGCTTCTGTTCACTCCATAACTTCACACATCCTTGTGGCAGTGAGAGCAATGCCACCTAGGCAGCGAAGCACTCATTTGCCTTAACACAAAGTCCCAAGAATTCTCCTGGGGGAAGCAAGCAGAGAACCTAGGCTGTCTACATAAGGTGTGACTGCAAATAAGTGCTGGCAAAGGAGGCAGAGCCGAACTTGTCTTCTGCAGCTGGTAGTGGATGGCTTTGGGGTCTCTGGAAAATGGACTTTCCCGTGCTATGTTCCTCATTCTTCTTCTGGACCCGATGCCTCAACCACATCCCATTGGAAGAGCCTTTTGGGTGGAGCACTCCCAGGGAGTGAAGAGGGACTGCTGTACACAGAATGCGTCTTGTAATGAGGGATCACTTCTTGGCTGACATGTCGGTTGCTGTGTCTTCCTGGTTTGTGAGTGCTGAAGAAGAATGTGACTTTTAGGCTTTGAAGGTGGCGCATGCAGGGATATCACTGTCAGAACAGGAGGCGTCTGTGGCTTCGCCTTTCACATCCCGAACCCCCAGCATAGCTTGTGTGCCAGAGCTAATCAGGTAAGCATGGATTTTTGTTTCCTATGTCAAAAAAGAGACAGTTACCACTCCTCTCAAATATTAGCGTTGGGTGTTCACACCAGGCCAGAATGTACATATCTAGAGAAAGATAACTGTCTTTGACCTTGAAATTGCCATTTTCCTAGTTCCCGTCTGAATTTCCTTTAAGATACATTAATTCCCTCAAAACCACAGGAGGAGGGCATCTACAGCTGAGCTTTATGTCATTAGCAGTATTTTAAATGCAAAAGAAATAGCAAAATGAGCAATGCTCCATAAAGCTGAGTCAAATGTCCACGCATCAACCTGTACACTACTGTTAGGCCCTGCCTCTGATAGTGTTTTGAGAGGACTGGCAACAGGAGCAGACCCATCACCTCATTGCTGTCCTTTATTGTCTTCACACAGGGAAGGCCGTGCTGCCCTCGTCACTTCTTTCTGCATGTTCAAGTACATGGCACTGTACAGCATCATTCAGTACCTTGGGGTTCTCCTACTGTACTGGGTATGTCTTGGGAACATGTTGGCTAGAACTGGATGAGCTACTTCTCCCTTATAGGAGAAACATGGCATAAAACCCACAATAAAACTAGGGTATAGACCTTTACTTTTATCTGAGCTGCAAACTTCTGCCGAGTGATCACATGGTCCTCCTGTACCCTCAGCTGAAAACTAGAAAGATTCTTCCCATTAAATTCAGCCAGTGGGCTCAAGATCCATGCTGGGCAAAAGGAAGGCTAAGATACTGAACAGTATTTTGGATGAGGGCATATGTCTGTGAAAAGGGAGAATCCGGCATAAGCATATGCTGTTGCAATTTATTCAGTATTTAAGGCATGAATTAACTTGACAGTGAGCAAAATCCCCTGGAGTGCCTTAAACCACTTTTGCATGCCTTCTTCCCAAATCAAGAGGAGGGCTTTTCAATCAGAAGTCACCCAACATTGAGAAAGCACATCTCTTCAAATAGCCTGCTTTTTTATTGCCTTGAGTGAACTGGAAGCATTGTTAGTCTGAACAATGTACAAAATGAGAGTATTCACTGCAGGCCCAATAATGGCGAATCTATTGGCAGAGTGGTGGATTGTGTGGTCCCCTTATCTGCTGAGTAGTGTTTTGAAACAAACAACAGAGCATTAGCTCCATGAAAATAATACGTCTTTCTGGAGACGATGTAAACAAGCCCACGGCAAATGTCTGATTTGTGATTTTTTTTCTTTGTGTTCCTCTTTTCAGCAACTAAACTCCTTTGGGAATTACCAATTTTTGTTCCAAGATCTGGCTATTACCACTATAATTGGTGTGACAAGTAAGCTCCTTAGTCATCCTGTGTATTAATGAGAGAATGATCTCAAATATTTTTCACCTCCTTGGAAATGCATAATTCTATGTACAGAAAAGAAGAAAAGAGAGAGTACATAGAGTACATGATATTTAGATTAGTAGAGGAGGCGTCTTGTTTGAGAAAAACTCTGAAATAAGATGGGTAATTCTTAGTGGTGCATTTGCTGAGCATGTAGGTGGTTGAGAACTGGGGTGTTATCTCTAGAAGGAGTAAAACCAGACCTAATGCAGTGGAATGTCTATTCAGGCGTTTTCCTGTTGACTTGGGAAGGCAGATTAAGAAGATACCTAAGGATCTGTGCCCAGATGAAAAAGTATAGGGATCAACTGTTTGGAGTCCAACTCACATTTGAAGCTGTGTAGGCAGGAGGCACCAGAAGAGACGAAAATGGAGAAGAATGAAATTGCAGATGTCAGACGCTATGGAGCAGGAAGTCGTAAGCCAACAATAAGAGAGGTAACCAGTGCTGGAGAGGAAAGAGAAAGACAGAGTTGTT